GCGGGACGGGACCGGGACGGGACGGGACGTCCCGTCCCGTTGGACAGCCTTAGGCCTAATCGAACATTTCGAGGATCAGAAGAAAATTCAGGAAACGTTGTATCAAGCCTCTTCCATGCCTCACCGTCTCTAGGATGCCTTATGATTCCATCTTTGTTACCACCCTCCGCATGCCATCTCATATGCTCTGCCGTCTTAGAACACATGAACAATCTTTGTAACCTTGATTTTAATGAAAAGTAACGCAAAACTTTTGCAGGCTTCTTCTTTTGCTTCTTAGTTGTAGCAGACTACTTCTTCTTACCTGAAGCAGACACAAAAAATTTGCTGCTTTTCTTATCAGGTTTCTACCTAGAAGTGTGACAATACTTGCATGTTTTCTCATCAATATCATCTTCCCAGTACAACATGCAGTCATTCGGACAAGCATCGATCTTAACATAATCAAGACACAACTTATTGATGGTATTCTTAGCCACATAAAAAGAATTAGGAATTTTTGCAAATTTAAATGCATCCCTAAGTAGATCTAGTATCATAGTCATTCCCTTGTCACTTAGCCCAGACAAACACTTTATGTTATATAAATTTAACAAAAACTCTAACTTTGAATACTTGGACCCTTCGTACAGTTCTTGATTTTCATCTCTAAGCAAGTCAAAAAAGTCTTTGTTATATGAAGCTGGCATTTCGTTTAACATTTCTTCTTCTCCCACTACTTGTGGCGGACCTACATCAACGCTCTCATGTCTTAAGCCCCCAAATGCTTCATTAATCAATAATTCTATAGGATTTTCAGGAGGTATTGTATCATGGGTAACCTCTATGTTGTTAGAATTGTGCACCACATTCATTTCCCCATGCATAACCCAAGTGACATAATTTTGAGGGAATGGTTTGTAGACCAAATGGTCAAATACTATATCTTTAGTCTGCCACTTTCTAAAGCCACATTTAGGACATGGACATTTTATTCTATTTCTTATAACTCCATTCTTAAATACAAATTCTATAAATTAATTCAAACCAAGCAAATATTCTGGTATGTTCCTCGACATTCTAATCCAAGACTTATCCATTGAAAAAATAGATTAGTGTGAAACAATATCACCTACAAGATTTTCAAAGTTATAAGATTAGAGACATATTTTAACACTTTATAAGACAACAAAAAGTAAAGGTAATGTTCTACTAATTATCTAGCATGATAAGACCAATTGAGAATGCTACAACATGCTACTTAATTTTTTTTTAATTGACTACATTACAACAAGCCTTTTGCATTAAAGTAATGTTAAGCAGCCATAAAATATAACCATATTTACCAGCTTATTACTCTCCGTATAACATCTGGTTGAAAAGCAGCTCAACATGATGGCACATCAGTTTAAATACATATGCAGAGGACAACTTCAGTGGCATTAAAACACATTGCACATGAAGATCCCCACCATTATTATGATATGATGGAACACTTAGTATGTTTATGAAAGATCAGGTGATAAGCAGCAGCACTAAGATACAATTATAAAATCTACTTTATTGTACTGTCCTCTAAAGAAAATTAAATAAAAGCTATATATGGTAAGGATGTATATAATTAATAGTTTAGTGACTTAAAGTTTTTTGCAGGCAACAACACTGGAAGATGGAGCAAAACAAAGACCGGGAAACATTAAAAATGCCAATCTTATCATAGTATCAATGAATTCAAAGTTAAATAGATACATATTGGTGAACAAGGCAAAAGGACTGGTCTCAGGATATCCACAGTCGATGTTAGACATATTAGGAAAATGCAATATTGCAGCTGTACATGGTTCTGCTCACAAGTTCATGAGGGGTGCATTGTTATCTCTAATTAGCCCTACTATGATCAGAGACCAACTTTTGCCTAAAATTGATGAGTTTATGAGATCTCACTTGACCAACTGGGATAACAAAGTCATTGACATTCAAGAAAAAACCAATAAGGTCAGTCTAAAAACATTACTATCCAAAGAAAAATCTTTATTTTTCCTCTGCTCTGAATCTAACTTTTCCTAATACTTTCTTTTTTCCCCTCATATGGCATTTCTGTCATCAACAGTAAAGCCACCCAACTATGGTCGCGGATTGCAGGTAATTTACCCATTATAACAGTAAAGCCACAAAACTATTTTATTGTATTAAAAGTTTATACATACATGTACCTAGGTATCTACCATAAACATGCATGTAAGAATCAAGTAAAATAAAGGTTAAAATTAGGCATACCAGTGCAGTAATTAAAGAAATAATGGAAAAAAAGCTTACCAAAACTGAAAAACACATCGACTAATCAATTTTTTTAGTGAATTGTTTTCACATTACATAACATGAAAGAAGAAACAGAAAACAAAAATACATTAGGATAATGAGGCAATAAAGCAGATTGCATGCCAGAAAATTCTAGGTTTATTGAGAAATCAAGCTAATAAATTGCATAAAATCAACAAAGAAATCACAAATCAACCAAAAAACTCCAAATAAATAAAGAAACCTCAAATCCAACAGAGAATACCCAAAATAATATAAAAATAAAGTGAAAAAAAAACTACCTGGTTACACAAAATCAGAATTGGAAACTGAAGAAGAGCACCATGGATTTTCTAGCAACGTTACTCCAATTTGGTGAGAGAGAGGCCGCCGCTTGGAGACTAGAGAGAGAGAGTGAGAGAGAGACAGCAATGGAGACTAGAGAGAGAGAGAGAAAGAGAGNAGACTAGAGAGAGAGAGAGAGAGAGAGAGAGAGAGAGAGAGAGAGAGAGAGAGAGAGAGAGAGAGAGAGAGTGAGAGAGAAGACAAAATGGGTCTAAAAGTTTTGGGTAATAAGGTCTAAAAGATTTTTGGCGGACAAAAAAATGAGGAAAAACAAAAATATAGTGGGAAACATTAGAAGCTTGGCGCTCTTTTGATTTTAATGTACCAGATCCCCCAAATTATAATTAATTGCATCGGATAGAGAAAGTCTCACAATTTGATACTATTTGTGGGAGTTACCGGCGATCGCCGCTAATTAACTGCCGCAATTTGAACCTTTTTTTGTAGTGACAGGGCAGGATTTATGACTGCAAAAGCGGATTTTTGGGCCGCAGAAGCGAGAAGGCCTGGGCAGATTATTAAAAACGTGAATTTCGAGATTTTTACCATTTTAAAATTTTCAAGCTCGGGATGTGGTGAATGTTTGAGAGGAGTTTCGTGGGATTTCTTGAGGTAAGTCACTTGTGGTCTAATTTATTCAATAATTGTGTTTCCCCATTGATTTTCCCACCTAGATGGTGTGGTTTTAAGGTGTAATTTGGGGGGTTTGAAGCTAGGAATTTGGAGAGTTTCAATTGGGGATTTGGGTGTCGATTTGGTGTTGGATTTTGGTGAATTTTGTCTAGTTGGACTCATGATTGAATGGGTTTCTAGATTTTGTGACTTTTATTGGATTCCGAGATATGCACCCGAGGGCCAATATTTGAGTCGACTTTTAAATTTGATTCAGAACTTAGTATTTTCTTATGGAATTGGTTCCTTTAGCTTGTGTTGATTATATCGAACTATTTGTGGCTAGATTCGAGGCATTCGGAGACCGTT